TGATACTTTGAAATTATTTGAAAATATCATGACAAAGAAAAAGAGAATATAGTCTTAAAGACAGACACATTAAATAGATAGATAGAAAAGAACAGAAAGAAATAAGTACAGTAAAAAGAGACTATAATAAAATAAAATTATTAAAAGATAGTATATAGCTATTTTAACAGACTATATCTAATCAATTTCTGCCTCTTCATATTCAGATACTTCTGAATTTAGTTATTTTCTTATAGCTGCTTGAGTTTCTAATAGAAAGTCTATTAAGTATTTAATTTCTGTCTCAGTTGAGAATAAGAATCTCATATTTAATTAATTTAAATTATACTTCTTCTTTAATCTGACTCTGAGACTATTGTATAATGCATAATATATTATAATATACTCAGAATTTTTATTCATATTACAGAATAAGCACTCTGTTGAATCAAATCTATTATCAAATCTTTATATATAGAATTTAAAATAACTATATTCTAGTTTTAACTGAATTATGAATAAGAATATTTTCTTTTTATATTTAATTGAACAAGATTTTCATTTTAATTTTATCTTAAATCTTGAATAATATATACTCTTCTTTTATTTCTGTCAGCTTTCATTTTACTTATTTAAATAAGATTCTTTTATCTTTCTCTTTATAAAAGATCAGAATACTGTTTTTTGAATAGATTTACTTAATTCTGAACTCTTTTTTACAGCTGAATCAGTTAATTCATTATCATAAATATTTATATAAGCAGAAACTTAATATAGATGAATTATCAGTTTTAATATTCTTCTCTTTTGAATTTTTAAAACAGAGTTTAAAATCAGTTCAAGATTCATTTGATTATTATAAATCTGACTATTTTTAAGTCTTTTTAAAGCAGCTTGACTATTAGAGAATATTTATATCTCTTTTAAGTTATTTTCTCTTTTATAAGACTTTATCTTAATAAGTTTGAAATCTTTTACTATTATAAATAGTTCAGTATCAAAGACTTCAGATTCACAGTCTAAATTTCAGAAATCTGAGATAAAATTAATATTATCTTCAGTATAAGCAATATCTGCATCTAATCTATTCAAATTCTTATTTTTTAAGTTATCTGAGTAAATCAGAATAGAGTCTTTTATATTAATTATAAAGATCTTTTTTAAATACTGTTTATATTCTCTCTCTTTAGATAGTTCACTTATTTATAAGTCTATAAGAGATTTCAGCTTTTCTCTTCAGAGAGATATTTTCTTATGATCAATTTTCTCAATATTTAATAAGAAAAATTGATTCTTAATAAGTGAATATAGTCTATATAATTAAGAGAGTATTTTCTTTAAAGTATTATTCTTATTTTAATTAAGAAATCTATTTTAATTCAGTTCATTTTCTGAGTTAACTGATAAGAATGAAGAAGAGACTCTTTCTCTGATTATATGATTTAAACTCATCTTCATGACTCTCAGAGTATAGTTCATACAGATCTTTTTAAATTAAATAGTAGAAGATAGAATTGAAGCTTCAATTTTCATTACTTTAATAGAAGATAATTTAAATACTTTCAGAATTCTTCTCAAAGCTCTGTTTTATAGACTTTAAAAGAGTTCAGTGAAGTTATCTTAATTATTTTATTAAACTTAAACTCTATAATTAGCTACTGAGATAATACAGACTATATATAACTATCTTATAGTCTGAAAGAATAGATCTCTCTCAGTATTTAATAGTCTGATTATACTATTCAGTAGTCTCTCTATCTTGATAATTCTTTATTAAATATAATATTTAAAATTTAACTTAGAATTTAATCATACTTCTAGTTATTCAATATTCAAACTGAGTTTAATCTCTTTATTTAAAAGAGTTAGATTTAGGTTTTTCTCATTGAATCTGAGAAAAAAGTGAATTAACTCAGTTTTATTTATATTAAATTAAATTAGATTAATATCTACTTTAATAAAGATTTTCTTTACTACTTTCTCAATCACTTCTAAATTCTCTTTGATTGTCTTTGAACTGTAGAGTAGATCAATATCATCTATATAACTTGAAGATCTCACTATTTTCATCTCTCTATTCTTGAATAGATATGCAGTGTATATTACAAATAAAATAAGTGAGATTGAAGATTCTTATAATACTTCTATTTTTATCTCAGTCTTGTCTTATTTCATTTCATCAAAGAAAAGTTATATGATTCTTTTAGATATAAAACAGTTAACTCATTTTATTAGAGAAAGTGACAGTTTTAACATCTTCAAAGTCTGAATTAACTTTGATTTTGAAACATGATTAAATACTTCTTTTATATCAATAAAAACTACAGTTGAGATCAGATCTTCATACTTTGCTATTTAAATATTATAAACAACTGAGAGAATAGTTCAAAAAATGAGAATTTGAATAGATTAGACGCAGGCATTGCTTATACTGAAGATAATATCAATTTTATCTCAGATTTCTGAAATCTAGGCTGTGAATCTGAAGTCTTTGATACTGAACTATTTGCAATAGTGAAAGCTTTCAAACTTATTGAAATAAAATCTTATAAAAGAGGAAATAGTTTGAAAGAGATATAAATATTCTCTGATAGTTAAGCTGCTTTGAAAAGACTTAGAAATAGTCAGATTCATAATAATCAAATGAATCTTGAACTGATCTTAAACTCTGTTTTAAAAATTCAAAAGAGAAGAATATCAAAGCTGATAATTTATCTACACTGAGTTCCTGCTTATATGAATATTCATGACAATGAATTGGCTGATTCAGCTGTAAAAAAGAGTACAGAATTAAGCAGATCTATTCAAAAAATTATGTTCTGATCTTTTATAAAGAAGAAAATAAAAGAATCTTGTTTAGATAAGTCAAATAAAAGCTGACAGAAATAAAAGAAGAGTATACATTATTCAAGATTTAAAATAAAATCCAAGTGAAAATCTTGTTTAATTAAATAATAAAAAGAAATATTCTCATCTATATACAGCTGAAACTAGATATGACTATTTTAATCTTATATATAAAGATTTAATAATAGATTTGACTCAATAGAATGCTTATTCTGCAATGCAAATGAGAATTCTGAGTATATTATAATACACTGTATATTATACAATAGTCTCAGAGTCAGATTGAAAGAGAAGTATAATCTAAATTAATTAAATATGAGATTCTTATTCTCAACTGAGACAGGAATTAAATACTTAATAGACTTTCTATCAGAAACTCAAGCAGCTATAAGAAAATGACTAAATTCAGAATTATCTGAATATGAAGAGAAGGAAATTAATCAGATATAGTCTATTAAAACAGCTATATACTATCTTTTAATAATTTGTTTTATTACAGTCTCTCTTTACTTTATCTTTTTCTTTCAATTTCTTTCTATCTATCTATTTAATATGTCTATCTTTAAGACTGTGTTCTCTTTTCCTTTGTCATGATATTGTTAAATGATTTCAAAGTATTAGAAGATGTTAAAACACTGTAATTTATAAACAGTTTTTATATTCTGAGCTGGAATTTTCTGATTTTATCTATCTGAAATTGATGAATGTATAATAGTTAACTTTACAGATATAGGAAAAACTCTGAGAACTAAAAGTTCTCAGATAGATGTTATAGTCTCTGACTGTATACATCTATAATTGAAGAATAATACTAATAATAATAACTGAGAGAATAGTGTTAATTACAGAACATTGTTTTCTATCTCTCATTTATTCACTGAATAAAAGAGAGTTATTAACAGAGCTTATAAAAGATAGTTGAGTAGCTATTATCTTTTTCAAAACCTTTTCTAGACAGTTTAATAGAGATATTACTCTATATAACTTAGAAATTGAAGTTTTTCTATTAGGTTTTGCAAGAATTACTTCAGTGACTTCTCTTCAGCATTCAGAATAGACTGATGAAGTAAATTATTATATAATTCTACTATTAGTAATCTTATTAGCAATTTTATCAGTGACTTTATTAGAAGCTTTTTCAGAGTATTGTATAGATATTAATAGAGATCTATATCACATTCATAGTCTTGTGAATATTATCTTTGTAAATTCAATTATTGTTGAGAAATATCAAACTTCTGTTTTAAGTATTTCATAAGATATCTTGTTTAAATAGTCAGATAAGTTCTAATATAATATTATAGTCAAGATTATTAACTTTATATATATAAGCATCTTTATATTAATATTCTCTGATATCTATACTTAGTTTCATTATATAACAGATGTAAATATCTTTTAAATTATTAAATTCTATAAGAAGTCAGAATCTTGATAAGAGAATATACTGAAGATTTAATCATTGTATAGTAACATAGATCACTGTCTATTATCACTTTTATATTATACATATTATTCATTACAGTAGATACAAGAATCACATTTATTATTATTTTCTCTTTAAATTATTATCATCTGATCTCTTCAAGCTTCTGCTTGTAAATTTGAACAGAAGCTAATCTTTTTTCTATTTCACTGAGATATTCTTATAGTTATCTTTTAAATCTTTCTTTAATGTAATATGATTGATATAGATCACCAGCATTGATCTTTCTTTTAAATGAGAAGACATGTAGATTAATCAGTAGTTGAAAGCAATGTGTTCTGATCAGTTACAGTTGATGCACATCTCTTATTGATGTCAATCAGTGACTTCTTCAGAAGCAATCTCAGAAACTCAGAAGCCTGTTTGAACAGCAGAGACCCTTGCTTATACATAGATATTTGAGTCTACTCAGTTCATGACATCTGCATTATTGTTCTTTGACACAGGTGTATGAGTGTAATGTCTTCTATCACTGTTCTATATATTCTTGAGCTTGATAAGACAGTCATTCAATGTCTGGAGTTGTATGCAGAAGCCTTCATAAGTCTGGTCTTTGTCTACACTTTGCGCGTGCCAAGCCATAATTGGGAAACAGATGTCAACACCTCGAAGAATTCATATTTGAAAACCAAACATGCAACAATGGACCTTTCTGAAAGTCTTAGGCATTCTAGCGAAATACTAAATAATGTTGTATGACATCAACACTAGCGCGAGCAACCAAAATGCCAGACAGTCAAGACACAATCTGGACACGATTGGGTGGGGATGGGATGGCGTGTTTGGCGCTAGGATGGAACACAGTCGTGCATTAGGAATGTGGAGGCCCGTAAAATTATCGAAGGATCAGTACGTACGGGGCCTCCACTCTATTGTCCCTAAACACAACACCCAAAAACCTAACTCACTCCAGCTTCAACATGGAAAGGCATGAATGGGTGGGTAGTTCCATCCTGATGACATGTATGGGCTGGCTAACCATCCTTAGAAAGAGGATATTCGACGACGTCTATTTGAACTGGGTCAAGTCCTTGAGGGACAGAAGGAGTCGAGAGTTAGTATTCATCTGTCCTGATTAAACTGGGTACTGATTGAAATGCCAGACCCTTGGTGAATATTTCAAAGGTGTGAGTGCCGACCTGGTTAGGGACAGGACTTTGAACTTCGATGATTTTCAGCAATACTGGTCTCGTCACAAACGGCGTGCTGCTTTAAGGGATGTGAAAAGGCGAACCTCAACACGCGACCGACATGCTCGGGACGACAATACATCCAGACAATTTGAAGACGAGAGCGATATTGATGAGATACTTTCCATCACAGATACTTGGGATGTGCGATCAGATGAGCTGGGGGCATTGAAGGATGATGTTCGGCAATGTCTGGATCAGGATCGAGACTTCTTCAAGCTTTCGGAGGCATCTACGGAACACCAGGTTAGAGAAAGGTCTTTCTCTTCAGCTGAGGATGAACTAATGAATGGGAATCAGGTCGAAGATACTTCTGAAGATGATCTTGTTGAGGCAGTAAAGGCTTTCAATTCAGTTGAAAAAGACGCGAATGGTGCCTACCGGGATTTCAGAAAGCAGGTACTGGCCTTGAAGCTTCGGGCATTAGAGGCTAATGCCGGAAACTATTGTGCTGGGAAAAGTATTAAGCGCGATTCACGCGTAATAGTTTACGTTTCGGAGAAGTGCTGGTCGAATCTTCCTTCTACAGCACAAAAATCAAAGACAACAAATCTCGCACGCTGGCGTGGTCATGGAGAAAAATGGCTTTCACTGGTAGAACCTTCAATACCTATGTCTTTCCGCCATATCCCAAGTGACCATCGGTGCTTTGGCGACTTTGAACGACGACGTCGGCAGACTCCAGAATTCGATGCTGTTATCAGCACGTTACAGGCCGTGTGTATCATTCCTGACTTGAGGAAACTATGGTGTCGTCAATTGATCCGGAAGCGTGTAGAGTCTGAGCATCATCCAGGGCGCTGTTTTTGCAAGAATACTGACTGTCCGGAGACTGAATCTATAGGGCCCCAACAGTCTGATCCTGCCATGACAACCAATGCTGAGGACTTAGCCGCGCAATCCAGCCATGTTAGCATCACATTCATGCCCACTGGGGGGCAGATGCGGCGTCCCTCGAACAGGTCACATCATTCTTTTATGCGTCAAAGGCACATTCGATCCGCACTGGCAGGATCCAAGCGCCCGCGTACCCTTTCTGATGATGATGATGAGGAGGAACGCGGTCCCTCTCCCATTGTTGGTGGTGTGAGCATTTCGCTTGCCAATAATAACGGTCGGCCTTTGGTCTCGAACATTCCAATGCCATCAGCTGAAATGCTGACATCTCACGGTAAGTCCCAATTTATCCCCACACTACAAGAGGCGCAGAGCGGTTCGTGTCCTGGATTGTCACGCCTGTTGCTTCTTGCTAAGCATAAATTAACTAAAGCATATAGTTCCGCCATCACACGTCGATCCTTGTGGGGCTCTTGCTCAGCAAGACTCATGTATTGAGTCCATGCGACGAGCAGAGTTCTTTGACCTTATGCGGCAAACGAACACAGCAGACTCTTTATCACAGATGAACCTCGATCTTTCACGGCAAACGAACACAGCAGACTCTTTACCGCCGGTGGACTTCGATCTTTCGCAGCAGATGAACATGTCAGACTCTTTGCAGCATGAGTTTGATCTTATGCAGCAATCAATGCTGATGCAGTAGACAGATAATGAAATTTCATTGACTCAGGAGCCAGTTAATATTATTATGTACAAGGAATGGACTGATCATAAGGCGCATAAACAAGCCAAAACATCCCGTAAAACATTATTCAACATCCAGTATAATGAATGGCCCCAGTTTACCGTCTGTCGGGATCTCAAGATTGCACCGCCCGTAAACATCATAACATGACCTTAGCTCCACAGATGTTTCATTAATCTTCACATCTCCGCGCACATAGAAGGGTATGAGCATCATGTATGGTTTTCCAACAGTGTGTATTCCCGGGAAAAAGACCGTAACATTACGCCTGCATTTTTTTGACTTTCTCGGCCTATATTTGCTTCGATCGGCGGTGGCGCTCTGTATAACAGTAAGGAATAGCCGCTTGTTGCATCATGGGCGCGCTTACTTCTTGGTATATTTTCTCGGCTTCGGTCAAGAGCTGCCACCCAGATCCGAAAATGGCAAGAACCACATAGTCATAGCCAGATGTTTTAGGGTGTGTGAGGTCATTCGCGATACTTTCATGGTCCATCAAGGCCTTCTCATAGAATGACTAATCTAGGATACCCCTTAGTTCGACAAAATTCTCGCTTGTTTCGGACATGTCTGGTTTGGAATTGCCGGATCGGGTGCAGATTTGGTTTTCGCTGTTTATCCCATTTATCCCTGTTAGTGAACGACAAACAGACAGACCCTTGGGCAACTCACATTTTTGATGATAACACTGGAAGAATGCAAGATATCGTAGGGCATGGCGGGGTATGATGGGTGTTGTAACTTCGCAAATTGCTCACTCACTGTGTTAAATGAGCATTTTGGCGGTTCTACGGAAATGCCATCAAAGATGAGGTCACGTTTGGTTTCGATCGCGTGACCGCAAAAGCTTGGCGTGCCTCTTGACCAAATCAAAAACAAAGCCTTCAACTGAGAACCCTATCAATGCATACCTTCGATGCTTAACATCTAGGGCTATTTTCCATCCAATCATGTCACTGAATCTCTTAAGCATTTATTGTCTTGGCATTCAAGATGGCTGTGTACAAGCAGAGGTTATTGGATATCGCGATATCACCAACATTGCTGAACTTCGGGGCGGTTTGATCTTTGAACAGCGCCACAGCTTTCAAAGCACACCCTCTAGCACCAAATCCTCTTTGAACCAATCATTCGCATGGCCTTCCACTCGGCCTCGTCCGAGTACCAGCGAAACTTTGTCATAGCTGAGGGCGAAACTGCATCCGTGACATGCGTGGTCAAGATCATGCGCTGAGAAGCTGTGTTTTGGTAGTTCGACAATAGAAAGAGACAGCGTATTGACAGAGGTTGCCGTGAAACAAGGCCAATGTGCGGAAATTTGATTGTTAAAATGAAAGGCATGGGAAATCGTACCTCTTAGTTAACCATGATAGAAAGTCGAAAACTTCTGGGGACTGGCGAGCGATGTTCAGCAATCGGTTTGGATGTGGGTTCGCTGGGAGGTCACCAAGCTACAAGGTCAAAAGCTGAGGTAGTCCAGTGTTCAGAAAGAGCGAATGGGGCCCCAGGGCTTTCCACTCCATGGTGCACGACAGTTGGGCAGCAACCAGTTTCGCCAGCAAAATTGGTTGGGGTTGGATCAATGCCCAACTCTCCTCCCAAGTATCGAAGGCGGGGCACAATCGACTGCATAATGCTAGACTCCAGCGGAGCTCGAAAATATGTCGAAATTAAGTCGAAAAAGTATCAAAATGTCCATCTTCAAAAGTTCAAGTGGGGAACGGAACAATTCTCGTCCCACTGAGGCTGGATGGGAGACAACGGCAGCTTTGGGGTGCCTTTCAAAGCCAAAAGATGATTGTCTTTTGTCCATCTTCTGCCATTGGAGATACCATCTCGGAATTTGGTCACGACATAGTCTCATGTACACACAGAAAAGGCTAAGCGATAGTACTGTTGGATGGAGCCAAGGACTTCTGTCTTCACGGCCTAGAATGTTTGATTTTCATTGGGTGGTTTTGCAATCTCAGGCGACAGATGCGGGATGACGGAGCAGGCTGGAACATGCCATTAGAAGAGTCTGCAGCGTCTCCAGGCACCTCAGGCAAATACGGTACCACCAAGCGGGCCGCAACTGGATTTTGACTTGCCCTGTTCTTCGGACAAGCTCGCCAAAGAAGGCCTAGGATGATGTCCTTGTCCACGATGACACTTGAACATAACGACAGGCCATCCAGAGCAGAGCAGACCGTCCCGCATACGCGATGCGATGGAAAAAACTAGCCCCAATCAAAATAAAATTGTTATCGAGGGACCGGTATGATGTGTTCTCAGCCAATCATGCCATTCCAATCATGCCATTGCATCTTTGAGGCATAACCTCATTTATTATCCTGGCATGCAAGATGTTTGCATACAAGTAACCAGTCTTGGGTTGGTCAGCACGTCACTGTCGATGAACCATGCCATGGTGAAGCTATAAATCATCTGCCAGCTCAAGAGGCACCTGTTCATCAGTGTTATTGTATTCTTCAGACACTTACCCACCTTAGCCAGACTTTGTGACAACTTCACCACTGCATCTACCCACAATGTCTGGCATTGATCCCAATGCTCGAAGGGAAGTCAATAAAGCAATCATCGACTCCGGGGCCGCCATTGTTGGACACATGGTTGCCGCTGCCAACTCCTCTGTTGAGAAACGTCGTAGGAACAAAGAGGAGCGAGAAAGACGCGAGGCTCAAGTGAAGGCTGCCAAGGAGAAGGCAGATGCCGCTGTTCGTGCTCAACCCCGCCCTTTCAAATGACCTTGGCATGTACTGACAGTTTCTAGAAGCGCGGCATATCTGGCTAGACATGGGCTACTCAAGAGCCTGGGCAAGACCCATGGCCTCACGTGTGGTCTGCACTCTTGCCTTTACCAATCTTGTCAACCTAAGTGGCTAACAGCGGAAAGCACCTGCAGCAAGAAGGCTCTCTCTACTGTCGTGCCCGCAACATTCTCATCATTTGATACTGTCTTTACTGTCTCGGACATTTTACTTTGCAGCCTGGCTGGGAGAGGGAGAACAAGGGCTTTGGTAAATCTGTGCTCCTTGGGCAACCAATATCAACTGTTTCTCTCTGAAAGTACTTCTCCATTTCAATTTAGTCAATAAAATGGGCAACTTTAACCATTTCCAACACTTTAAAATGTAAGAGGATACATTTAACCAAATTCGTACGGTCAATCTAGAGTCTTTGAGCATTTTCAAATTGGTTTATTGCTGCAGGGAAGAAATTCCTTGGCGTAGGGTCTGGTATCTCTTGCGACTACAAAAAAAATACTTGGGGCACTACTTTCTGTTTTAACCCACACCGCCAGGGAGTTTTTCCGCCCGAAGTTTGAGTGTGCAGGCTAGTTACCCAACCGAACAGTCCTTCGAGCATCGCGAATGCACGCCAAAACCTCTCACGTCTCGCAACCAGCTCCCTTACCAGATTTGTGTTCACCCCAGTGCGTGCTTAACCCCAACCATTTCTCCGACTTTATGGATACCAACGCGGTTATCGATCTCGTCCACGAGGTGCAGGGCCAGCTCTGGGTCGACAAGGTGAACGAGACTCACAGAACAGGCCGACTCTGCCGGTGGGTGTCGACTTTCCATCCCCACAATCTTCCCTGTCAACTCGACGGCACCTTTCACCATGGTGCATTTAATGCCGGCATGAAGATGGTCTTCAGCGACGGCACTGCCTGGATGATCCGTTTCCCTCGTGTAGGGATGGTTAGTGACAATTACGCCGACGAGAAGGTTGCCATGGAGGTGACCGCCCTGAGTCTTATTCGTAACAAAACTACCATTCCTGTCCCCAGAGTCCAGGCATGGGGTGTTGCTGCCGGCAACCCACTTGGTTTGGGTCCGTTCATTATGATGGACTTTATCAACGGTGTGAGCCTCAGCGACCTTCTCAATAATCCCAATGCCGAGCGCCCTACTAGACTCATGAGGGAGGATATCAATGATAGTGATATTGAAATTATCTACCGGCAATTGGTGAATTATCTGCTTCAGCTTTTCAAGCTTGATTTTGACCGGATTGGTAGCTTGCCATGGCCGGGGGTTGACGCCCAAAGCGCGACACTGGCACGCCCGCTAACCTTTAAGGCACATAGTATCCTACAAAATGGAGGAGTCAACACTTTTGGTATGTCATGTTGCTTTCCCCTTCTCTCTCTAAGCTTGGATGTACATTCACTAAACAAATGATTTATAGGCGACCGACGCCAGGGGTATACAACAACAACTGAGTATTTTCAATATGTTGTTGGGCAAGACTGGGCGCAGCTTGTTCAGCAGCCAAACTCGACTGTTGGTTTATACGATGCGAAAAACAAATACATGGCGTTTCAGGTTCTAAAAGCCCTGATACCTGACTTAGTCAATGCCAAGTATGACCGTTGCAAGTTCAAGTTGATTTGCGATGATCTTGGTTTGGCCAACCTGATTGTTCGAAGCAAGAAAGATCTCACCGTCATTGGAGTAGTGGATCTTGAGTGGTCATACGTTGGGCCTGCCCAGTTGTTTGGCTCGGCACCGTGGTGGCTTCTTCAAGACAGACCTGTCAACAGCGCATGGGATTATGAGGATGACAAGCCGCCCAAGATTGCCGCCCGGTACTTTAAGTGCCTAAAGTCTTTTATACGAATTTTAGAGGAGGAAGAGGAAAAAATTCCAGGACATGAAGAGAGAGAGCTCTCTAGTCTTGTCAAGTGGTCACAAACCTCTGGAGCCATGTGGCTGCACATGCTCCTCTCTTCCGGCTTTAATGATTATTGCAGCTTTCCTTTTACACAGCTGCGCCGACATTTTCACACTGAGTGGCTGAAGCGCGAGGAGGAATTTAACAACACGGAAGAGCTTGAGGCATTTGCGGTGCGGAAGGTGAGCGAGTTGGAAGAGTATGATGAGGCCTTGGAGAAGAGAGAGAAAGATAAAGCGCTTGTCGACAGTGGGATGATGACAAAGGAGGAATTTGTTGCCAATACTCTGACATCAGAGTCAGACTCTCCCGCCTGGTCCTCATCGTTTGTAGTCAACAATGAGGCGAGAAATGACAAGGGGCTGTTCCAGAAGGTAGCAGCTACCTGGCTCTGGTCAGTCTTCTTCTGGCTCGAAGAAAGGCCACAAGCCCATGTCTCGCCACACTGCACCTTTGCAAAGCGATCTCTACAGCAGCTTTCGACCCTCAAACGAAAGTTCCTATCATGCGTGCAGCGCATGTGGGCAGCAATCATCTTAGCCTGTTGGAGGATTAGTGCCACCATTCGCCCAACGTGCAGACTCTAGCCACCGCCGTGGGATGTCCATAATCTCGAAGTTTTACGAGCTCGGCTGCACTTACATCGACTGTGACGGGAGATCTCTTGGGAAGGCTGGAACTCATATCATGATTGAGAAGTTTTCAGGCCTGCGGCCCATCCATATGCTGCCAGCATTTCCACTCGAATACCACCCCGATCAAGCAGGGGTAAGGCAAAAGTGTATTGAATGCGGGAAGAAATTTTGTGGGCTAGTTAGGACGCATATCCGGCAGTGTAACGGAACAGCATTTTTCATGCACAAAGGGAAGCCAGTGCAGGTCAAGGTCAACAGACGTATTGGCATCGATGCCGCATTCTTCTACGAATTTAATCCCAATTATTACCGCCCGCGTGTTGAAATATCTAGCTCAATGAGGTCAGACACCAACGGAAATATTTGGTTTGACTTAGGCGAACTCGAGGAGGAGCAGCATATGAAAGAAAAGGAGAAATTCAGGAGGACAGACAGCCTCAACATGACTGATGATGATTATCTGATATGTTGTCCCTCGGTTCCCGGCTTTAGTTTCGCGGAGAATGATTTCTGTAAGCCCTACCCTTCCATCCTAATTTTCATAGCAAGCCTGACACAGTTCTAGACGAGTTTGCTTTTGATGACATTTGTGATGTCAAGTGGTCACCTGGTCTTCTTGGGAACCTAACAATTCCTGACAAGAAGAAACGCACACTAATGGCCCTTGCAAGAACCCGCCTGGAGGTTGTCCCTTCCCTTCCATTTGATGATTTTGTGGCGGGTAAAGGGCGTGGCTCGAACGTTCTTCTCTAGTATGTCTTATAGCCTTTGATTTGTTACGCATGCTAACGACTCAGTGGCCCGCCCGGAGTGGGCAAGACTCTAACTGCCGAAGCCATGTCGGAGTATTTTGAGCAGCCTCTTCACCTGGTAAGACCAGTTCCCGTCGAGGGCCTGTAATGTAGACTAACCTTTTAGATACCCGCTGCCCAATTGGTCGCGAATCCTACTAAAGTTGAGGACAATCTCACTCGTATCTTTCAAATCGCTAAGCGGTTCGATGCCCTTCTTTTGTTAGATGAAGGCGATGTCTTCCTCGGACGCCGGGCATCTATCAACGCATGCAAGGACGCTACTGTTACAATATTCCTTTGCAAGCTGGAGTACTTTCAAAGAATCTTTTTTCTCACAACGAACCGGGAAACAGAGTTCGATGAGGCAGTCCTTAGCAGGATTCATCTGAAGATCAGATACAAAAAGCTGAGCCAGCCTCAACAAAGGGATATATGGAGGCACTTTATCTCTTGAGCATGTACGCATCAAGGACCAGCAGAGGTGGGTGATATGGACCGCCTCGCGAATTTAGACCTCAACGGGCGGGAGGTAAGTCTGAAGAAACCGTTTCGGTTCGGGTCCTGGCTAAAATTGCAAGTTAGATCAAAAATCTCATGTCCATTGCACATGCGCTTGCGACGGATGATGGCGGCTGTGTTAACTATAAATATATTGAGCAAGCCTCAGTCTCAAACGAGGAATATTCTCGAGAGTTTAATCGTGTCAGTACCATGTACAGCTGACGGATCTTTGTATGGTTTCACATTCCTCTTGGTTCATTCTCCTTATTTTTTTTGTTATGATGATGGACTCGTCCACTAGTTCTGAGCTGTAACTAGTGTCTTTTGCGGAGCTAAAATAGTACTGGTTTATACTGAATGCGGCCCTGGAGAATTTGCTGTGAAAGATGTCGAGCCTAGCCGTTTCTCAACCACAGCATTCGACCTTTCACTCTCCCTGGGGATTAGAAAGAAGTGATTCAGTGCCTCACTGAGAGCCGAGTCAACGTGCCGAATGAAGCAAGCTTTGACGATGTTATTGAAGATCTTGCCAGCAAAGCTCGTCCGCTGATTGAGACGCTCAAGTGCGGAAGGCTGCTTGCGACTATGGGTGTTCGATTGCCTTGGAGGAATAGCGTCAGAGAGCTTTGATATCAACAAAGAGAGCCTCTGGTTTGTTTCTGTTGTCCTTGAATTTCTTCTGGTGAACCGCGAGCAGCTCGGATTCGACCCTACCGTCGTCACCCATGGAACAAAGCGTTACATCACAATCAAGAAGGACGGCGGGAAGTAACAGCTGGTCATTGACGAGGTCATTGGGCGAGCGCGCTGTGTCGCCGGCCGGGCTACCACATGCTGGAAGGTACATCGCGAGGACGAGCTGCAAGCCCGCAGTATCCAGAGCGCGACGAGGAAGGGGAGCTTTTGTATGAAGCAGCGGCTCATGGGGTGACCCATGTCGCCCGGTACTACCACCATGAGACCGTCCGCGTCGACGGCAGGGCTGATGACGTCTTGGGTATTCGAAAAGGCCTACTCATCCCAACGACAGGCCAAAAGAGAGCTGGCGCAAAGCCTGCCTCGGGCCGGAGCAGGTCCCGCCAAGCACATAAGGACTCAAACAGCATTACAGGGCAGAAACGGTCTTCGGAATGTGTGGACGCAGCGTTACCCCCGCCACCCAGCAAACGCACCCAGTCAAGCTCTCCGACGAAACACCTGACCGACGGAAAACCACAGAATCGTGTGCACCGCCGCGTTGTTGTCCGGGACTACGGGAAACATATCTTTGAGAGTAGCTCAAGGATCGCGTTGCTTGTGGGTATATGTCTCTTTACCAGAACGCTGGCCTCGTGCAAAGTGATATCTCCCACCGAAATCTACTTGTGAATGAGGACAAGGATAACCCTTCCTACCGGGCATTCTTGATTAACCTCGACCTTGCGATCAGAGTGGAACGGGATGGCTTCTCCCAAGCGCGCGGTAAAACCGGCACAAGGAGCATTCATGGCGATCGGCGTGTTGTTTGGAGAAAAGCACTCGAAT